CTGTTAATATTCAAAATAGCTTTGCTATCATCTGAGTCAAAAACCTGATTCACTAACCAGTCATTCCAGTGGCTACCATCAGCATGTAAAAGATCTTTAACAAATATCAGACGACCCTTAGCCAAAGGCAACAAATCAGGGGATGGTTTTGAGAGATTTGGGACCCATAGTATTGGCACCATTTCTTATTTCAATTCGCAGCCATTTAGTACAGACAGGCAAAATATCCATCCAAGAGCTCCATAACCAGGAACTATTGCAAGTCTTAGAGGCATGAAAGATTGAAGTGTGAGGATAGTACCTGTCTTTCAAAACTCTACTTACCAAAAGCTCAGGCTGGGTAGTAATTCTCCACAGTTGCTTGCAAATAAGTGCTGTGTTGAATAACTTCATGTCCAGGAATCCAAGTCCACCTGAAAGCTTTGGGATAGAGAGATTTTCCCAACTTCTCCAATGAATTCCTGTAGAATTGTCTTCTTTTTGAACCCACCAAAACTGAGAACAAAGTTTAGAGATATCCTTACATAAAGTTATTGGCAATTTAAAACAGGACATAGGGAAGATAGGAAGAGCCTGTATCACTGCTTTAAGAAGAACTTCCTTTCCAGCTGCAGAGAGGAGCTTTGATTTCCAACTTTGCAGTTTATTTTTTATGGAATTTAGTAAGTAAGCAAAGGTTTCTTTTTTCGATCTACCAATCCCTAAAGGTAATCCCAAGTACTTTGTGGATCTGTGTACTTGGATTCCTTGTAGGGTCCTGCAGATGTCTTGTTGAAGATGATCTGGTGTATTTCGGCTGAAGAAGATGGTAGATTTGCTGAGGTTCACCTTCTGTCCTGTGAAAACTCTGTACTTGTTAAGAATATCCATAAGAACCTGAGCTTGGTCTACACTGGCCCTGCAGAATAGGAGAGAGTCATCTGCAAATAGCAGATGAGTTAAGATTGGCCCCTTTTTAGATAATTTCAAGCCTTGAAGCTGCCCAGTATTGGAGGTGTGAACTATAAGAGCAGACAACATTTCAGCTACAATAATAAATAGGTATGGGAAGAGAGGATCTCCCTGCCTTATGCCTCTTGTTGGCTTAACTAACCCACAGATCTCACCATTGATTTTGAAGGATATGGTGGAAGATGAAATGCATGACATGATCAGTTTAACAAAATCAATGTGAAAGCCCATTTGAATCATGATCTGATGAATACATGACCATTCTACTCGATCGAATGCCTTCATTAGGTCAAGTTTTAAGGCCAGAAAGAAATTTTTTCCAGAAACATGCCTGTTCAGATAATGAAAGACTTCATGCGCTATAATCACGTTATCTAACAGCTGCCTTCCTTTAATAAAAGCAGATTGGTATTCACTGATGCAGCTGCTGAGACAATGTTGAAGTCTATTTGCAAGAATTTTTGTAATGACCTTATAAACCACTGTGCAAAGGCTGATTGGCCTATATTGACTTATTGTTTCTGGAAATGCACATTTTGGAATTAAGGATAAAATGGTGTGATTCCAGTATTTTAGAAGTTGCCCAGTTGAGAAAAAACTTTGAATAGCAGCAACAAATGCAGTTTTAATAGTAGGCCAACAATTTTGATAAAATGAGGCTGTCATACCATCATCTCCAGGGGCTTTATCTGGATGAAGGTTGAACAAGGCTTCTTTTATTTCTTCTTCAGTCACTGGGAGCAAAAGTTGTTGATTCATATCTGAAGTAATGACTTTAGGAATCAGCTGCAATAAAGATTCTCCTCCCCACGAGCCTTCAGATGAAAAAAGCTGCGAGTAGAACTCTGTTATGTGTGCTCGAATTTGTGCCTGAGATGTGAGCTGTTGGCCATCAGGAGAAATTAATCGAGTTATCGCATTAAGTCTTCTTCTTTGTTGAGTAAATGCGTGGAAGAACTTGGTATTCCCATCTCCTTCTTTCAGCCAATGCAATCTGGATTTTTGGAGCCAGAAAATCTCTTCCTGTTGATGAGCTTTCTCCAAGTCTTTTCTAGTGTTATTCCATTCTTCCCAGGAAGAATCAGCTTTATTAGCTCTAATGTTCTCCAGCTTTTTAGTGAGAGTTTGAATGACAATTTGATTTTTTGTTCTGAACTGCGAACTCCATATAAGAGGAGCCATTCTAGTATTTTTGATTTTCTCTTTCAACTTATAAAACGGTGTTCCGTGAACTGGTTGAGACCAAGCCTGGGCAACAACTTGAGAGAAGTTTTTCTGCAAAAGCCACCTTTTATCGAAATTGAACCTTTTCTTTTGTTTAACATTCATCGCTCCTTTATCAAGCAAGAGAACTGCATGATCAGATGAACTCGAGACTAGACTGCTGATTTTAGCGTTAGGATAACCATTGAGCCATTCCAAAGATGCAAATGCTCGATCCAGTTTTTCTTCTACCATCCCCTCGTGAGCTCTGTTATTGCACCACGTGTATGGATACCCTTCCATTCTTAGCTCCTCCATTTCCATCTGATCGATAAAATTATTAAAGGCATCACAACTTTTATCGCTTCGAAGAACTCCCCCTACTTTCTCATTTGGTGCTCTGATATCGTTCCAGTCACCTATGATGAACCAGTGAGAACCCCATTGGTGCTTTTTCTGACATAATTATTCCCATTGTATTGCTCTTTGAATTCTGCAGGGGTTTAGATAGACAAAAATGCCCCATTGGCTTTCTTCAGCTGGAAGTTGAAATTGAACTGCGATGAAGAAGTTTGACTTGTGCATTTGGTGGATTATGATTTGAGAACTCCATAATAGCAATAGACCCCCACTGATTCCTCTGGGATCCACTATCTCCATTCTTTTATCAAAGCCTAGTCTTTTGGAAACCGTTCTGACATAGCCATTGGATTTTTTTGTTTCGGACAAGAATATAAAGTGCGGATGGTGGGACTTGATTATCCCTCGAATTTGGGAAACTGTAGAGGGCCCACCTAGCCCTC